GGCGAGCTGCCCCGGGTGGTGCAAAATCCTCCCCGCGTCCAGCTTTCTCTCGGCCGGCAGACGCTGTCGTACCCGGCCCTGTAACTTGGCGAGTTTCACGTTTCCCCTTTCGACTGAGCAGTAGCAGCAGGTTTAGTCAGTGCCGCTTCTTCGGCGAGGTTAACTTCGTTGTGTGTGCTGGAAAATCTGTTTGAAAAATTGCAGTGCGGGAGCTGATGTATTTCTCTGTCTCCCTTACAAGGGGCTAATGCACAGTAACTTACCTTATTTTAAGAAAGAAGTTGTCAAAGAGATCGTAGCCATGGTTTCTTAATGCGTAGTTTCCATTTTTAAGGGTGTTGCTTTACTTGAGGTCACACGTGCGTGTGTTTCGTCAGCACTTTTGCTCTGCTCAGATAATGTTGAGGAGCTGTGTAGTTCAAGCTGATAATGCGGAACTTTCCAGGACATGACACTGTAGCTTAAACCAAAACAAATAAAGGATCTGCATTGTGCTGTATTTCTTGCACTATTTGAGCTTTATTTGTTATCTTAAGCAATAACTACAAATATGTATTGTGGTAGCCAGACCCCTCCAAGGAAAGTGGTTTGTGTCTTGGCTTTGGTTACTTTGGCATCATTTCGAATGCAGCTTTTCGTCTAGTGGTACTTGAATTTCCAACTTGAGAAGATTAAAAAGAAAACAGGCTGGAAAAGCGTGAAACACCAGATGAAATAAGGTGGCACCTTTGTAGAAATCTCGTGTAGACATCTCCAGTACTTGTGAAAAGAGGTGGTTTATCAAAATACTAGTGTTTTTAAAATCTAACAACTTTTCAGTCTGCTTGCTGCAACTCTGTCCTGCCTCTGTTGACCAACAGTTACTTACAGTGATGAAATTAACAGAGTGGAACTTTGATTGCTTGGCCTCTGGTTGCCCAGAAAACCTGGAATATTGTTAAGTGGGTACTCAGAAGTGACCAGCTGAGTCTCCGTCACTCCAGTAGTTGGTAAATCCATCTCAGTGGATTTAATTCAAACAGCACAGTTAATAATTTATTGTAGGCTGTTAACAGTGGTAGTCTTGAGCATACCTGCTTTTACCAAACAAGAATGTGAACAGAGAGACCAGGGAGAGAAAGAAGAGGGGGCTGTTAGTTACATCTTAAGGCATTATTTCCTTTAAATAAATCTTTGTGTAAACTCTATGCTTGGAATTTGAACTTCACTGATTTTTTTTTTTTATATATATATATATATATAAGCACAAAACCACATATATGTGTAGCCTTAGGTATTATATTGCAGTCTTAATCAATGTTACCTTCAAAAGCTCTGCGTGGTAGGATGAAAATATCTAGTGTGTATACTCACTTTCCATAAATACCACTAGAATGTTACAACTTCTTCTACAGTTTCAGACTTCAGTTACCACTATTAGAAGTTCACAGCGCTTGCCAGAACGCTGAAGAGACTTCCCAAGGTTAGAAAGCTTTAAACAGTGGTAGCAGAAAATACAGTGTTAGTGCCTTAAGAAAGAGGAAATCTGTGCTGTAATGTTATTGTGTGCCAGAACTTCTGCTACAAAGCGTCAGATGGACTTTACTAGATACTGATAGCCCATTGATGATGTTGTGGCCGTTGTGTTTCTGAGATGTTTTGTGCTGGACTGAATTGTATTGTGAAGCTAGAAACTAGATGGTGAGAACTCAGGTAGGAGAGGCAGTTCAGAGTAGCTTTGTCACCTGGGAATGAATGTGAGAGTTGCTTCTCTGGAGCACCTGAAAGTGTGGTTTTGCTGATGTGATGTGCTTCTTTCTAGTTAAATTGGTTTGTTGCTAGATAACGTAAGCTTCACTTTCAGATGTTACAGTGGTGAACACTCAGAGAGGTGGCAGGCAGGGAATCATCCTCCGAGGGAATACAAAGAACTGTATGACCCAAGGTCGTTCTTTCCAAAACTCATGCATGGAAAACAGGATGTAAAGTGCGTGTGCAAGTAGAAAAATAGCATCTGTTATGCAGTAGAATTCCCTCTTAACGTGACTCTGAGGTGCCTAGCTTTACATACTGACCCTCAGCAAGGATTATTGGTTTGAAGCTGTCGACTATTTAACAGTCCAGATTGCTACACTCAGTACGTTTATTTGGATTTATAAAACAAGTGGGAATGTTTAGAAGTTCTCATAGCCACTGAAAAAATAAATTTTAAGTTTCATTTGTTTTAGTAAGCTAACAGAAGAAATCCTTTTCCAAATAAAGAATCCATTTGCTTTCAGTAAAGCAAATTATGTTGTGATGTTTGTTTTTTTTTTCCCCAGCAGTCTTGAGAATAATTGAACAGCCTGCTGTGAAAGCCAATGGACCATTAGTGAGTGGGTCAGAGAGTTATGGGGGTCTTTCAGAGAACAGCAGTGCTTTTAACTTGCTTTTGGTGCCAGAGATTATTCTTAAAGCGGTGGTTTCACATTCCATCTCTTGCGCTGGCTCTAGCACTTGTCTGACCCCTTGTGAGGCTGATCCAGGGTACAAAGTTGGCAGCTTTCTGCAGTGAAGTATCTCTGTTCGGAAGAATGCTGGAGCAAGGTGGGCATGCCGCCTAGTGGGGTAGGTCCTACCTGTCAGTTGAAGAGATGTGTTCTGTGCAGCCATCTGGAAATACTCTCTATGATAAAAAAATCATTTGTTGGGTGAAATAGCAGTTCTGGTCATTCTTGTCAACAGAGAAACCAGAGGCTCTTGATGGTTGCAGCAGGATGGTGTTGTGTGATATGGCTGTGATGGAAGTACTTCTTTATGCCTCTTTGTAGCATCATTGATGTAGTATTGAATACATGTTTCTATTAATTCTAGGTTCTCAGCCTGCGCATTTAAGTTCAGATCTCTCATTTATAGATAGAAAGTATTTCTTTTCTTTGGAACCACTTGAATTCGTATGTTTTTTATGTAGAAGCCGTTCTAATTCTGTGCAAACTCTGCATATGGTCACATTGTGGCTTTCTTGTAGAAAATGATACATGTTTTAGTGTTTTGTATCTTTTGGAACTTTTTGTAGAAAAACAGTAACTTTGGATATTTAAGCCAAGAACAAAGGTAGGTGATTCAACCATGAAATTGCATATTTTTTGTATTCTTACATCAGTACTTTAGGTAGGTATTTTTCTAACAAAGATCTGAGATGTATCTTTTACACTTTCAAACGTTTGCTGAGTGGTGATTGATAAAGAATTAACAAAAGAGAAAATCTTAAGTTTAAATCTTAAAACATTTAATGCTCATTTCCTTAATAGAAGTGAAAGGAGGAGTAAAGGCATCTGTCAACAAGCAAATAAAATACTTGGGTTTTATTTATGTTTAGTTATGTGTTTAAATGCTCTGGATAACCAAATAGTATTAAAATGGACATCAGTTCTTTAGAGGGAGGGGTTTACACTCACTTCTTTGTCCACAAAATGTATTGCAGTCTTTAATTGTAAGAAAATAACAAAACCAGAGAATATAGAAGGTGTGGGACCTGTTGAAATATTGCTAAAATTGTGCATAAGGAGTAGAAAATGTCTTTTCTTTTGTGATTGGACTGTAAACTGCTAAAGGGATGACCTTATTCAACTCAGGTAGCAAACTGACAAAATACCTGTTTCTGTTTATTATGCTAGGGTATTTTTCCTTTCGTCAAGAGCATCAGGAAATATCCATATTAGGTTCAAGAGCAGCAAATGACATGTTTTAAGTCGTTAGGCATGAGTAAATCTCTGCTGAGCCTCTGTTTAACATGTTAAAAGTCAGGTGGAATTTTTCCATTTCAAAGTCTCTGCTTTCAGGAAGATGATCCTTAACAATCTATATGTTATTTTAATGATAACTTTTTTTAGGCGAAGAGAACCTCCGCATGTAGTTTTACCATGTCTATTTCCTAGAAATCTTAAAAATACAATAAGACATATTTGAGTTTGGTTTGTTGTTGCATTTTGGGGTTTTTTTTTATAACATGCTCATACAGATAATGTTCTTGTTGCTTTTTTCTGATGATCTCTCAGTCTTCGTGTCTTGCACCAGATGAAATCTGTCTTTTATCCTCTTTCAATTTATTCTGGCTTCATTTTGCGGTATGACAGTTTCTAGAATTTAATTGAATAATTTGTCTTGTGGATTTGAATTCTTTAAGCAGTAGTGTAATAAGCTTTATATTCGTCAGCAGATATATGCAGAGTCTGTCGGTCTGAAGGAACTCCTGAGAAACCCCTCTATCATCCCTGTGTGTGTACTGGCAGTATTAAATTTATTCATCAGGAATGGTAAGTTCTTTGGGTTTAGTATTATTGTTTTAATGACACATTAACATGTTTCTAAAAGCAATGCTTCCAAAGTCTGTGGGTTAACCAGTAAGAAAATTCAGCGGCATGTCAGGGGTTTTGTTGTTTTTTACATGATAGTTCATTACAATTCACAGAATTCAGTCATTATATATGAAAAGAAAGTAGCGATAATTGTTTGTGTTTAGGACTACAGTTCTGCTCGTATGTTAACTTTATGATACTTTTATCAGTATGTTGGGGCTTTTTCTGTCCAGTTATAGTTGTGAATAAAAACAACATCTAACCTCATAGCAAGGAATAAAAATACCCTAGTGCTTTTTAGTCCTTTTGAGGTGTGTGTTTGATCAGGGGAGTGCTTAAGTGAAAGCTGTAATTCTTGTCTATAGCACACATTCCTCTTGATGGTATTTTAATAGCCATTCTTTCACAAATACAACAATTCTAAATCTTAGCTGTGTGCATATATATATGTCATATCTTGAAATATTTATAAGGGTTCGCGTCACTAGTGGGTGTCTGTGTCAGGATATATGCTTGGAGCTGTAAGCCTTTTCAATAGCGTACTCAAAGAATATACTTTATTGGTAATGAGATGTAATTAAGAGTTACTCATAGTCAGCTAGTACTTTTTTGCTTTTTGAAACTCGCTTGATGGCTTAAGTGGACTTAATAAGCATGCTAATTTAAGTCTTGCTTGATAATACCAATATCCTGATTTTATGTTTGAAGATGGAGAATTTGCGGTTTTTCCTTAATGGAGAGATAAGACAAAGGGAAGTAATAGCAGTATTAATATGATCACTTTTTATTGCAGCTTAGTTCAGTGGCTTAAACACAGCAGAAAAGAATACTGTGAATTATGTAAGCACAGATTTGCTTTCACACCAAGTAAGTATGTTTTACTCCTATTTTTTCAGAATATCTTGGCTTTTTTCTGTTAGTGTAAATGATTACTTTTTCATTCAGCATGATTGATCCACACTTGTGTTTTAACTTTTGTATTTTTATTTGAATCACAGTTCTTATGCATATTATTGCAGACTCTCTGAATTGTTTAAATAATGAATAATCTGATTCTTTAATAATCTTATGTGAGCCATAAAAGAAGTACTATTCTGCATCTTTTCTGACTGCCTCTTTTTTGTTGGCAACAATACAGCATATGGTATGTTTTCAGCTTCCCTGACAAATTTGAGTGTTGGACATCTGAATGTTAAGGTGAAACCACAGCAGGATTTGAATTTGAAAACTAGTTTTCAGTTAACTTTGAGCTATCCACCTGCAACACTGCCATGTCTTTGATCAGTTTCAGTTCAAATTATCTTGACAGATAATATAAATGACAATTATTTCACTTGCATTTCAGTCAAGATACAGTAACTACCCAGTATTACATAGTCTTTTATGTTAGATTCAACTAAATAAGCTAGACAACTTAAGATAAAGAACGACTGTATCTTTGTATAATATCCAGAGGATTTTTAATTACATTTTAACCAATAGTAGTAGAAATAAGTGAGGTTCTTTGGCTTGATGACAAGCTAGGATCATTATTTAGTATTGTCAACTTACTGCTTGTTGAACAGGTAAAGTGGTTCTTGTACTATATATTTTTCTCATTAATTTTGTTTTGTGATGATTTATTCTTTACAACTGCTGAGGTCTATCCTTCATGGTGCAGATATGTAATCTAATTTTTTTTTTTTAAATTGATGGATATCTGCACTATAGAAGCTGTCTTGAGTTGGGAAAGATGATGAGGTTTGAATATTTTAGGTGTGTGATCCAATAAAAATCAAAGGTCCTTTTCAGGGTAGCCAGTCCCAGTTAGAAGGATAAAGCGCTCATCTCACCTCCTGCTCCTCTCTTAACTTTTTTTTTTTTTTTAACTAATTTTTGCAATGGTAGAGGAAACAGAGGCTAAGGAGACAGATATTTTAATTCATGTATTTTCTGTTCCAAAAAATCTCATAATTCACCTTCCTTCTATATATTGAACCTCAAGTATTTGCCATTTCTGCCAACAGTTAATTAAACAGGAGACCTTTTTTAAAATGAACAGCAATGAAGTATACAATATTAACTTTCTTACCACAGTGAGAATAGCATTTTATGTTCATCACAGCAGTGCTTTCAGATTATTCTTTTTAAATACTACAGACACATGTATAAGAAATGTTCAGAGGTGTCATTTGCTTGCAGAGTTTATTTGTTAAATGTTTTTATAAGGCATTATATTACTTCTGTTTGGATACTTTGGAAATTAAGAGAGAACCTCGGTTCTGGAGCTCCCTACAAGCAAACTAACCACTTCAAAAATTATGGTCTGCTTCTGGGTCCTCTACAGAATTTAGTGTGCGAGACTAAAAAACAGCATTTACTAGTTATTAAGAAGGAAGGATTTCTAGTTTTGTATGAAAAAAGGACTACAGTGTGTAGTATTTTTCCTTAGGATGTAGGAAAAAAGAGTATGAGAAGTTCTAAATCAAATGCATTTTATATGTGTGTTACTATTAATACTAGAAAACTTTTTCACTCTTTTTGTCAAAAGACATGTTCCTTTAGGAGTTTAATCCTTGACTGATACAGCACAGCTTGTCATGTAGTTGTAGATTTCAGACATGTGAGATAACATAATTGAATTACTGTGTCTTAACAGGTTATAAATTGTTTGTCATAGTAGCCTTGAAATTGCTAGTAAGGGAACCTCTTTTTCTTCTCAGTGTGATAGAGTGCTTCCTCCATATTCAGCCTTCAGCAGAGTTCTGCTTATCTTCCTGTCACGCACTGGCCACTCCCCAGACTGAGCACCCACAGTTGATAATGTTCTTTTCTTGGCTTTCTCACAGTGTGGTGGGTTTTTTTTGTTGTGTTTTATTTGGGTTTTTTATTTATTTTTTTTTCCTACCAAGCTGCACGCAATGGTAGCATGTGTCAGGTTCTTGGCACAGATTCCTCTAGCCCGTTCTACCTAGTGTGTCTTGTTTCCTTGTTTCCCTTGCACCCAACACTCATGCAGTTACGGTCTCCTTAGTTTCTCTTATCCCTCTTTATTTGAAAGATAATGTGGGTTTCGAGTCTGGAAGCTGGATCTGCTCGTGAGAGCTGGGGAATAGTCACAGGTGCTGGAGAGAGAATGATAAGACAGAGATGGAATTGATGTATACACACCAGTCATCCAGAATTAAGTTGAATCCGGCCTATAACTATGCCATGTTTAAGGCACTTTCAGATATACAAAATTAGTATCTGTGCTTCAATGGACAGGCATGAAGTTGAGAATGATAGTGCAGTAATAGCAGCAACTCCTCTTTTAGTTTAGCTTGGTTTGTTTTAGTTAAGGCTGGTGCTGTCATTCTGTCAAAAATGCTCCTTTGCTCGTATAGCTTTTGGTACATAGAGTATTCATAAAATATTCCTAGTGCATGTATTCTTTTTTTACTGTCTTTATGTTTTGTAATGTCTTGTGACTTCTTTAGGAACTGAACTAGTAGGTTAGTTACTGTTTGGAAGGAAGAAAAAAGCAGAAGATTCAACTTGCACCTCGGCAGGAGTACAAAGGAACTGATTTTTCTTTTGAATAATAGTATCATTCTCTAAAAATGTTTAGGCATGTAGGCAAATGACTCAATTTTCAAATGCATGCTTTGAGGCCAAATTTTATATGTTTTAAAATTCACTCCTTTTTTTGCAGTTCTTCAAGTTATGAATTAATACAGTGATTTAAAAAAAAGGAACTTTGGACTTTTAAATTATGCCAGGTTGCGTGTTCATTTTTAACTTAGACATTTTCTTTTTGATCTTTAAACTCTTATTCTTTTCTTCCTCACACATGCATTTCCTTTGTCATGTGTCAGGATGCATTTTTCTTGATGTCACACTAAAAGTTCTTAAGTGCTGACTCGCGAAAGAAGGTGAGGCTGTGTTTCCCATGAGAAGATAATTTTCAAAACTTCTCTTTTCTGTAGGAGGTAACATTAACATAAATATTTTCAAAAATACAAATATGGAAGTTAACTAGCCTGGTCTTTGGCTGGAGATAGGGATGGGTTCATTCTTCTGCTTCCTAAGCAGCTGCATTGCTAGTAAAGAGTCGATATGATGTCACAAACTTAGTTAGTAACAAAGATTGTAAAATGGAAGGAAGCCAGGTTGGGTAGAATGTCCTTCTGTTCATAAATTATCATAGTCTGAAATAAGCTTTTGATTTGTGCATGCAAAGTTACTAGTTCAAGGTCTGCATGCACTTGGACCTCCCAATGGTTTTAATCCTGTTACTGTTCTTCCTCTTTCTTGTTTGCCACCTTTATTCACATGTAATTATTAATAGGAAAGTTTGCTGGATCAGGAACTATTTATTCCTGTGACTCTGATTTCATTTTATGACAAGGCAACCCACTTGGTGGATGAGGGAGAAGCTGTGGATGTTGTTTACCTGGACTTCAGTACTGTTCCCCACAGCATTCTCACAAAAAAACCTGTCTGCCTGAGGCTTGAACGGATGGACACGTTGACTGGGTGGCCGGGCCCAGAGAGTAGTGATGAATAGAGTTAACATCTAGCTGGTGGATGGTTACAGACAGTGTTCCTCAGGGCTCAGTGCTGGGGCTGCTCCTGTTCAGAATCTTTGTCAGTGATCATAGAATCATAGGATGGCCTAGGCTGGAAGGGACCTTAGAGATCATCTAGGCCAGCCTTGCTGTCATGGGCAGGGACGCCTCTCAACTAGATCAGGCTACTCAAGGCTCCGTCCAACCTGGCCTTAAACACCTCCAGGGAGGGGGCAGCCACAACATCTCTGGGCAATTTATTCCAAAGTCATGCTGCCCTCGTACTGAAGAACTTCTTCCTAAGGTCCAGTCTAACCTATTCTCCTTCAACTTAAACCCATTTCCCCTTGTCCTATCGCTGGACACTCTTGTAAAAAGTCCCTCCCCAGCCTTCCTATAGGTTCCCTTCAGGTATTGGAAGGCAGCTATTAGGTCCCCCTGAAGTCTTCTCTTTTCAAGACTGAATAATCCCAGCTCCTGCAGCCTGTCCTTGTAGCAGAGGTGCTCCAGCCCCTGGATCATCATGAGGCCAGCTGTATGAGCTTCAACAATGTCAAGTGCTGGGTCCTGCACTTGCGTCACAACAACCCCAAGCAATGCTGCAGGCATTTAGAGTTGGTCCTGGTAGAGTTAGATAATGGTTGAAACTGATGGTCTTAAAGGTCTTTTCCAACCAAAATGGTTCTGTGGTTCTATGATTGATTCATCTCCTGAACCAAGCTATAGAATATTGATATTCTTCACATTAAATATTCAAGGTTGGTGATTGTTGTTTTTTTTAATCATTAGCCTTGATATTGTTTTGTTCGTCTTAAAACCTTCCAGATGTGACTAGCATACCAAGCTTAGTATGAAAGAGTTGATGGTTATAGATCTTAAGGCAAAGAAAAATGAGTATCACTGGCCTAATTTTAAAATATTAAAAAGCTATTGCTTAGTAATTGCATGTGTTGTTCATAAATTAATATGTTGTTAATAAATTAAGTTCCAGACTCTTGGATATTGTGCAAAACAATCTGTAAGAAGCTATGTAATCATGCTAAAATGAGTGACCCATTTTGTTGTCATTTGAAATAATTAGGATTTTATTGAGGGATATAGTGGGCTAATGTTTTTTTACCTGATTTTTTTGACAAACTTTAGCATAGTAGTCTGTAGCTTCAGCATTTCTAGAAAGTCTGGTTTGAAAAAACAGTAACCTCTGAGACAATATACTTACTACATGCTGGCACAGAAATTTCAACAGGTATGCTGCCAGTTTCAGGCTGCAGAGCAAGCACGTGGTTGCAGCATATATGAGTGTCATTTCTTCTGTTTTGTTGCACCCACGACTGGCGTGAGAAGGAATTATGTTTTTCTCCTTTTATATTAGCAGTCTGAAGAAAACTCTATATCTCAAGAGTGTAAATAGTAGAAACATAGAATAGTTTGGATTGGAAGGGTCTTTTCAAAATCATGTAGTCCAACCCAAGGAGTAACTGACAACCCATGTTTTGCCAATCGAGTGCTTAAACACATGAGCTATAAACCACATTTTTTACCTAAAAATTATGTAGTCCTATTTCATGAACAGGGCACAAGTATGATTGAGGTGGCATATAAATGGCTTGCAAGTGTAATAGTAAATGGAAAAATCAGTAAGTTGTTTATAAGCTTGGAGATTGTGTGATGTAGGCTAAATGACATTTTTACCTAACCAAAGAAAAATGTTTTGCTTTCTTCCACACTAGATATGCACCCACTTAGGTTATGGACAAATAAGTAGGCTGACTTGGATGGGGAAAAAGTGAGAAAAGAAATAGGATACAGTCATATTGTGAAAGCTATGGAGAAAAATAAGACTATTAAAAAAAACGAGCCTTTGTAATAAATAGTGGCAATGGGGTTTGCAGGTTATATCAAAGGCCATTACTTCTCTAGTGTCTTTCTATAGCTCTGCTTCCCTCAGTGAAAGGTGAAATGATGCACTATAGGAAGGGACTTGGGAGGCGAGAAATCTGTAGATATAACATAAACCGGGAAAATATTCAAGATCTTTATTTCCTTCTGGGGGAGGATACGCGTTTTCAAAAGGCTACTGGCCAGTAACATACTTTCCGTTGTGTTTTATACCAGTTTGTAATGGTCATCTATCTGACTTCTCTGCAAATGTTTGCACGCTGCAGAAAGTATCCACTTTTGGTGAAACTAGCCATATATGGGGGAGATAAACATATTTAAATCTGTACAGCCTGTTGTCACTTGTTGGGAGTAAACCCATAGGAGACAGGGAGATTCTTGGACCATTGTCTTGAAATCCGTTAGGCATTGCTGGTGATTCATTGTGGAGGTGGGTTTGTAGAGGGGTTCTGCTGCCAGTGTGGGACAGGAAAGAGGAGTAAGAGAATTTCAGGATTGGGCAGAGCCTGGTGTTCTCTCAGTACTGGTTGTTTTGTTCTGTTGTGCAGCTGGCATTTATAACTACGGAGTGCCAGTGCTACTGGTGTTGCTCGTTTTTTTTTCTTTTTTTTAACGCAAGCAACAAAAGTCAAGTCTGAAGCTATCTGGGTTTGTTAATATTTGTAATTACATATCACATTATTGCGTCAGGATATACAGGTATTCAGTAAGCCCCTCTTATTGCTGAGATACTGCTCTGGTGAGAGCTTCTTTCTGTACTGCCCATATCATGACTAAATATTTCTCAAAATGTCCCTGCAATGGAAAGCGTTTGGGCAGTATAGTTTTTATTTGGATTAAATTTTGGTACCTTGAAAAGACTAGGAAAGAGAGGTTAAACCAAAAGTGTTAGTCTGTTTTATTTCTTCATAAGTTTGGTGGGTATTACATCCAAGTTCAGCAGCTTGTTCCTGTTGTGTTTGTCAAAACACAGTTGTGTGATATTTGTACTAAATAGCCTCTGAGGAAATGGGAATGATGAGAAAGCTTCCTCTAGTAAACTTCAAGGTATCACTTTGGTAAGCTGGAGCATTGGGGACTTCCCCCCCATCCTATTTGGATTTCGTCATCTGAAACATATTGACAAACTGTTTCCCTGAAAACTACTAATCCTTATTGTCTGCTTTCTTCCTTATATTTGCCAGCAGAAAGATAATTTCTAAAAACAGATCTGTGTTTTTCCTACCTTATTTGCATCACTGTAATTGCGGGGTTTTTTCCTGAGCTGTCTGCTTTGGAGGAACAGTACTGGTGTTCCTGAAATACTTAGGCTTATGGGGAAGGGGGGAAGAGTGAAACAAAACCCCACCCCCAGAAAACAACCAGCAGAACACACCCCACCACCCTCCCAAAATGAAATAGCGGTTACACTGCACAGATGTGCCTTCAGTATTGACAATGCTCCCTGGTAGTTTTCCTATGGCCTGGAGAGCTCAAAGAAGTTGAACTAAAGCTATGAAAGCTTTATGCTCAGCTAAAGTCTATTTGAATTTCATGCAGTAATAGAAAACGTAATTGGCCTCTAGGACATTTTATTCAGAAGAACTGTGGTAAACAATGTAGGGAAGATGACTGGCATGAGGATTAATGCATGGAGGAAGGATGAGGAGGACAGGTGTGCACAAGGAAATGGAAAGGCTGTAGGCTGTGGTGGCAAGGGTCAAAGTCTGAGGCCTCACGGTGGTGGTGGGGAGTGGATAAAAGGGGGTGGAATGTGAAGAGAAACTGGCAGTAGATGACAGACACAAGTGGAGGATTAGATACGAAAATCACTGGCGTCTGGCTTCAGTGCTGCAGAGTGCGTCCACATCAGGGGTTCTTGTCATGCTGGGAATATTTGTGTTTGACCCACCCAACTGTTGTAGGACTTAGAAGGTCTTTATATTATCATCATGGTATAAAGCTTCTAGTGGCAGAAGCTTTATGTGTTTTGAGGTGTGGCAGAGGAGAGGAAAACCAGCAGTCTTCCCCCCAGCTCCTGAAATCACGAGATTGTTAGAAGTCAGGGGGATGTAGATTGTCTTCTTTTGGTAGTAGCTACATTGTGTGTTTATGCGAATGCTTAGTTCTAATACTAAAGCCTTTAGAAAACTGAATATGTAGAAGTGCTTACATTTATGACCAGTTTTACTGAGTTAAGATCCTTTTATACAGTCCTCTGTGTGAGTGTTCAGTAATTCCTGAGAGATGCGGTTTTTTTAAAGAACTTTAAACCCACTCAGCTTCTCCCAAGCAATAAATCGTTGCAACACTTTCACTTCCTGGCATCTCAACATGTTACACAAGATTTAGCAGTGACTTTGGTTACTGTCGGAGCAGTATAAGCCAGCAGCCTTCCTGCATACCAATCCTTGGCAGTACATATAGACATCAGGCGTTGTCACTTCTAGGAGCAGACACTGTCTGCAAAAACATGCTGTTAACTTCAGAAAGTGTAACTTCAGAAAGTGCAGCCTCTTTTAAGAGACGGAGCTGAAAAGTAAAATCACTGAGCAGAATTGGTTCTGTTTTATCCCAAACTAGGACAAGAGGCTTCCTTTGTGACACTAGTCAAAGGATGATTAGGAATGTAGGTGAAGGTAGCAGGGATGTTCATTAGACTAAAGGGGGAGGGGCAGCTACATTGCATGAAGCAGCATTTCTCAGGCTTCTAAGTCAAAGGATTGTCCATGAGAGGAAGGAAAATATTTCTCCAGTAGTTCTTATAAAAAATTACTTTCCATATGTAGTTAAAAGTATGTGACGTTTTAAAAAATAGGCTGTTAATTAAATGTGTTAAAGTCTTCAAGCTCAACTGTTTCCAACATAACTTAAACATCCAGACGATGTCTTTGTGCAACTCCTAGCTGTTAGCTTCTTCATTCAAATTTGTTACTGATTCTGTGCATTACCAGTTCTTGGCATCTGTATAAATCTGTAGAAGCTAACTAAATGTAATTAAATTGTTAGATATAGATGTTTTCTAAAAGAAGCAGCCTTGTCACTGTTTTTCTTGGCTTTTCGGTAGCAACAGGTACCTAATGTATAGGGAACCTAATGTGTAGATATTGAATTAAAAAAGTCAAGAAAATTTACTAATATGAAAATGTCTATGCAGGCTGAGAGATTTGTATTATGTTCTGTAATAGGAGTGACCTTAGAAGAAATCTTGCCTGATATGAAACATGTACGCTCTGAAAGAAATAATCATTTGATGTAAATTTACATGTCTGTGCATCCTTATCAGTTACCTTCAGTTTTGTTATCTATGTGGTGGTTTCATTTTGCCTTTTTTTTGTTGTTGTTATTGTGCTGTTGGATAGCAAATGGTATCTAAATCACCTAGCGCAAACAAAATGATAGTATGTAAAATTGCTAATTTTAGGGGGTTTGGTGCTCTTTCCTTGGACTAGTTTTATAAATAATGGATAGGGATATCTTTGAGGTAGTGCTGAATGGGAAGGCTACTGAATTTAGAATCTGTTTTTTCTTGCAGGCTTGAGCTTATTTTGAGATAATCAGAGTCTACAATTGCTAAATAAAGCTATTAAGAAAACTTCTCTAAGTCATCAGCTCACATGGATTGTGTTAATTTTCCCATTCCACACAATGTAACAAATGTCATGTGAAGTTTTTCTTTGTTGTTTCTTTGAGGTCATCTCTTGGGAATCTATAAAATATGCTTATTCTTTTAGTAAGTTTTTGCCAAATACAGGCATTTCATAGTTGGCAGGATTTTTGCATAAATGCTTCTTTAAATGGGAAACTGTTTCATAAGTGCCTTTTCTACACAGTTTATTCTCCAGATATGCCTTCACGGCTTCCAATCCAAGACATCTTTGCTGGACTGGTTACGAGTATTGGCACAGCAATACGATACTGGTTTCATTATACACTTGTGGCCTTTGCATGGTTGGGAGTAGTACCTCTTACTGCATGTAAGTAGTATTTTTTTTTCAGTATGTAATACTCTTTAGGCAAGAAAATATGCTGATTCCTGTAACAATTTCATGAGACCATTGTTGGCTTATTTAAAAAAAAATGTAATTATAAACTCAAAGACATTATTTTATTTTCCCTCAGAAGTTATAGCTATTTGACTTTTAAGCCAGCTATCCAATGCAGAAAGGTGTTAAGAGATGGGAGAAAATGCATAAATGAGCTTTTAAACTTCTTATTCCAATAAAATGCCTCTTTTCAATTATATTCTTTAAAATGTGCATGGGAGCTTTTATTTGATATCCTTTATTAATATAAGCATAGAGTAATTGTCCTGTTTTTTTCTAACCATCAGTAAATGAAAGTGCAATTTATTTACTTTTTTAGTGTGAAAAGTGAAATTTCTTTGGATTCATACATAAGTTCATTAGTAAAGTTCCCCTTAAAAAACCTAAAGGCCTAGAAGTAACAGAGGAATTTAACAGAAAAAAGTGCACGCCTAAATTACTGTAGTATTTATTCAGTTTGAAAGTCACATTTCAAATACAAATGGAAAGAGAACTGTTGCCGTTTCACCAAGCTAAAAATATAGAGAAGATAAAAAAAGGCGAAAGGGATATAGTGTTCAGTCAAGGAAATGATTGCAAGTGCATCTTTACAAACAGTAATACACCCGTTGAACAAAAGAGCAGGGAGCCAGTAAGTGCATCTCCCTAGACAGTTTCTCAATATGTTCTGTGCTTCTATTTGTAGCTGGCATTGGCTTAGTTTGAGAATAGCACAATACTGGCATCAGCTGTAAAAGAGTCATCGTGTTTCTGCAGCCTGTCCTTTCTGTGTAAGAAAAATGAGCTTTTTATTTTTCTAGGCATGGAGTAAACAAGATTTACGGAGTGCTCTACATTAAAACTAAAAAATACTTCAAATTTCTTCCTTGGATTTTTAAGCAAACCATTGTCTTTCAAAATGCAAATGTTGTATGTTTTTCAGTATAGAACTTCTGAAGGACAGCCAAGTTGTATTCAGTAGATTAGTTAAGGTAGCTGTGTTTTATAACTGTCTGAAAACCTAATGCTGGCTCTTCAGTAGTACTGAAATGTTACCATAAGTCACTACTTAGTTAAATAAGACTTCTTTCTTCTTTTTTCTTTTTTTTTGTATGAATGTAATTTTAAATCAATACTGCTGACTTACAAGTGGCCATTTTTTTACATTGTCTTAATTTCTGTCTCTAACATGATATGTATTCCCCTGTTTATGGATTCCTTTAAGAATTAATATGTTGTGAAGGGTAACATTTGCACAGGAAGATAACCGACATGACAGCCATTCAGTCTAACAAACCTTGAAAAATCCATTTACTTATTTGTCAGGATTTGTCTCCTGGATGTGGTTTTGTATAGGTCTTGTCTTCTTATGTTAAATACCTTTAATGTAATCTTTAATTTTCTTTAATATTTAAATACTTGTTAATCTAATCTTTTGCCTTTCCCATTTCTGTCAAATGGCTTGCATGTTTGTGTGTGGCTGGCTTCACAAGGAAGTATTCTTCTCATTATTTGATATCTGGAAGAAAAGGGTGCAACATAAAAAAACTTGTCAAACATACTGAAGGAGGTGTATAATTGGACAAATCTGTCTCCCAGATTAAAATGCTAGTCATGCCAGTAGCCCATCGTGGGATAAATTCTACATTCTTCTTTGGTAGTTTCACTTTTTGATTACCTCCTCATCTTAAATGGTTGAATAAAAAGAATTTACCTCTCTGTGTGTACCCCCAGCCTAATCCCAGCAGACTCTTATATGCTGCTGCTGTTCTTTTAGCTCAAAGCATATTTACATTAGTGGATGAAAAAAGCCAGTTACACAACTTGCTCTGATGTGTTCAGAGAAGTAGCATTTGTTGGGCCAATTTAATCCAAGATGGTTTTATTCTCTGATAACTGTATGTAACTGCATGGTTCCTGGAGTGAAATCCCCAAGGTATCTATGCAGCACACATATGTGTATGCACTGAGTAAAGTTAATGTGTACACCTCAGGTGGTAGGCAATTCTAGAGTGGGAATTGGGTTGTTTAAAGTGTCTGCTGTATCTCAGATTTTGGAAATTGTGATTCACATACCAATACGACATGTGAATATGTTTTTCTGGAGTGATTCAGTTGCCATTTAAAAAGAAAATTAAAACACAATATAGCTGAAGAGGATGATTGTATACATGTTTAATGTAATCATGTAGTAGTTAAAATAGCAGAGATATGTAACAGAACTCCTTAAATCGACACAAGTGAAGTATGAATGGAATTGCCTATGTGAGCATATGCAGAAAAAGGGCTAAAAGGAGTATTTGCTGTTTGCCAAAGAGCACTGTATATGTGATTTCATTCAAATCAAGAGAGAAAACAGACTAAGGATAAGGTGTCAAGAAGATGAAGAACGAAACCGGAGTTATAAGATAGACAGATAAGGAAAACAGGAGAAGTGTGAATTTTGCCTCAGACTCAAGAGGAATGAAACTAAGCAAGGAGGCAAAGATGCCAGATGGCATTGATTAATGAAAAGTATGAAAGGCAAGTCTAAAATCAGTTCATAAATGCTAATCAAGAAGAATCTACGAGATTTGATGAGGATTTACTAGCTGGTGCCCTTTGTCCCCAGTGTTGTCCATAAGCAGTTCTGTGCAGACCACTTGGGCATGTATGTCTTAGTGCTTGTATGAGAGTGAGCAAGTGAAATCTGTAAGGAAAAACAGCTTGCTTTGAAATCAGTTTGTTTAGAAATTTTGTGTAATAAAATCCATTCCTATTCTGTAAAATCTCACAATAAGTTTTGTCACACTGATTTCCTACTAGCGTAGTGTCATCAGAAGTTCTTTGAGCTTTTCAGACTGGCAGAGTTCATGGCACAGAGTAGCATGTGCCAGTATATGCTTAGGTACCAATGCCTGCCTAAAGGGTGGAATCAGAATCCTAGGAATTGCATTTCTGGATATGAGTTTCTTAATTTTTCCCTCAACCTGTTCTGAGCATCTGTATCATCCTCCAATGGATCCGAACCTAATTTTCCCAAGTGGACTATATAAACTGATAACCTACTTTTAAGATTATGTGACTGAAGGATTGTAGTAAAAAGCTAACATTAAGTAGCATCAAGTATTAATCCATATAGCAATTATTTAAAACGGATAATGAAATGGTGCGACTCCTTACTACAAGATACCATAACAGCAAAAGTTTATACAGGTTGAAAATGTGATTGAACAAATGAATGGGGAGAAAAAAAAATCCATCAATGATTTATTAGCACTTAGATATGGCACAGGAACTGAGCTGCTTTGCATGAAGCATGTGAGAATGTGCTGAGGGAGCATTGGTGCAGGTATCCTTAACTTGTTTCCATACTCTTCCTTAGGCATTCTTTTACTTTGTATGCTTTATCAAGAACATTCAACTAAAATAGTGTTGTTACACGTATTTGTAGATGGTCTTGCATTCTGTTAGTTCACTGAAAGTTGAGGATTTTTTGCTTTGTCATAAATTTAGCTAGGACACCCCATGAAATGAGGGTACACATGGCTCTAAGCGAGGCTGTAACCAAACTCAGATTTATACCGCACATCTGTTTCTTTATTCAGGTCGTATCTACAAGTGCTTGTTTACTGGCTCTGTGAGCTCACTACTGACACTGCCATTAGATATTCTGTCAACGTAAGTACTTTTAACACTTTGCTACAATTAACTTTTCTAGCCACATTGCTGTGAAAAAGGCTGCTTTGGAATTTGATATCCCTTTGTTTCAGTTATCTTCCATCATCTTATGCAAGCAGCTGCATAAGGAGATGTATGGCCAACAGTATCACAGTAGAAAGCGTTTTACCTTGAAGTTCTGTAATTTAGTATCTTTGGAGATAATAAAATAGGCCCTGGTTAATTAAGATTTATATCTGATGTCAAAAAAACTTATGCTGCAAAATTAGAGTTAATAATTAAAAGAATTAATTTCCACAGTTTAAATCAGATGCCACATAGTAGAATGATAATATATATAATACTGTAGTAAATCATTTACTTAGCTACTATTGCATTTCCTTCACTATTCTTGAAAATTTTTTTTCATGAACTACTCTTAAAGCTTTTCTTCATATTGATTCTGATTCTGTTTTACAAGAATATTTGTGTTTTAAACAGTAGTAATTTCACAAACTAAACCAGAGAGAAATAAAACCTTTTCCAAATCAGTGTTTATCTTGGCACTTAAAACTATTTGTATGTAGGTACATAGAGCCTTTCTAAAAGAAACCTTTGAACAGATTTTTTTTTAATTAAATAAAAATAATGTCTAAATACTTTCTTTACCTAGACACATACATAAATTCAACCTTTTTGCACAAATACTGGTTTATTTGTTGATTTAGAGTAGCAGGATCTGTCTGTGCTAGTTAACAATGACTGGATTTAGTCTTACTAGCAAAATACATTTGTCACTAACGTGTGTGGGGTTTTTTCATTCTTTACCAGGGAAAACTTACTGGCTGACTGTTTGCAGGGCTGTTTTGTGGTAACATGCACTCTGTGTGCATTTATCAGCCTTGTTTGGTTACGTGAACAGATTGTCCACGGAGGAGCACCACAGTGGTTGGAACAAAATCAGCAACAGCCACTCAATGGTGTGGGTCAACAAAATGAGGTAAAACTTAACTGCGCAGTAGTTCATGATAAATTAAGAAAATGTAGTTTTGTGAATAAAAATACTATCAGAACCCAACAGTAATGTTATTTTACTGCAGAGTATTTTTATTTGTACATTGTCAAACATGTTCCTGTATAAACACAGTGGCAGCAGTGTTTTTTTTAAGTTTTGTACTGTGTCCAGTTTTGTGCCCCTCACTACAAGAGGGACATTGAGGTGCTGGGAGGGTACAGAGGCAGGCTTGCCAAGCTGGTAAAGGATTTGGAATATGTGTTGTGCAAGGAATGGCTGAGGGATCTGGGGCTGTTTAGCCTGGAGGAGACTGAGGGGAGACCTCATCGCTCTCTACAGCTACCTGAAAGGAGGTTGTAGCAAGGCAGGAGTTGGTCTGTTCTCCCCAGTGGCGTGTGATAGGACAAGGGGAAATGGCCTTAAGTTGTGCCAGGGGAGGTTCAGGTTGGATATTAGGAAGAATTTCTTTAGTGAGAGGGCTGTCAGGCACTGGGTCAGGCTGCCCAGGGAGGTGGTTGAGTTGCCATCCCTGGAGGTGTTTAAGAGACTGGTAGATGCTGAGACATGGTTTGGTGGTGTTGACAGGGCTAGGAAAAGGTTGGACTCAATGATCTTGAAGGTCTGTTCCAAGCGAAACTGTTCTATGATTCTAAAGTATGGGAAATTCCATTTGAAAAAAAAACAACAACAAAACAAAAAACCCAAAACCCTACAAACCCCAACCAACTTACAATAAACCAACAAAAAAAATAGATGTGGCTTTTGTTTTTTACTCTTAAGTGTCATCAGCTACTAGAACAAGTTGCTCAGAGAGGTTCTTAAGTCTCCATCTCTGCAGTTACTTGAGACAACTGAAAACAGCACTGAGCACCCTGCTTTCAGTTAGGTGGGTTGATTAGTCAAGCTCTAGAGGCCCTTTCCAACCTCTGCTACTCTGTGAAGAAGTCTGAATGTTTCCCTTCCTCTTTTAAAAGGTTTAGTGATCTCAAATGTAATGCTTATCTAAACAAACTAAACACGTTCTTACCTTTTTTTAAATACTGTTAGTTTTTTTCAGGATAAAAGTATGCAAAGAAATTAATCAGTTTAACTGAATGCTAAATCCTGTTTCTGCAGGCTCAGGCCGTTGTAAATGGAGGTGTTGAAAATGCTGTACTTGATCAACCTGCTAACCCAGCTGCTGAGAACGTAGTTGTAGGCGAGAACCCTGAAATTCAAGAAGAACAAGTAGATGAAGAGGAGGAGGATAATGAAGATGAGGAAGATGCTGTAGTAGAAGATGCAGCAGATGCAAACAATGGAGCACAAGGTAACAGGTGACTCAAAACAGTAATGTTATAGTTCTTTTTAAATATAAATTAAAACATTGAAAATTTAAGGAAGCTATGTAAGTTGCCACTTCAGATTATTTAAGTGCTGAAGCATTTCCTTGCTGAAAAGCTATTAGCAGTTATGAATTGAATGTTATGCACTTAAGTCATTTTGTCCATCTAAAACACAGCATGGAGTGGTTACATCTTGTTTGGGTGAGTCTAACAACTGTAAAAATGGCTGTTGTCTCCTCAGATGACATGAACTGGAATGCGTTGGAATGGGACCGAGCAGCGGAAGAGCTTACTTGGGAGCGAGTGAGTAAGAATCATTTTCTTGAATAATTCAGACTCATAATTGAAATGATTTGTAGTACTGTTGTGTTAAAATCCATTTGGGATAAATTTGGATACTGTTTTCTAGTGTGAAAGCTATCAGTAAGAGGCTTTAGTGACCTAAAATCATTGTGTTAAAATGAGAATGTTCTTATGCTACTTGTTAATATCAAAAAGGCGTATCTTAGATTTGAAATATAGTATCAGCTTAAAACATGGTGTTATCACAGCCTTTTCTGAAGTCTTCAGCTTGCTCAGGTTTATAAATGAGTTGCAGCTTTCATTGATAATGCCAGACTAGATTAAGATCACATAAGCATTGCATTATATACAGTTTAATACTTTATTTTTCGTATTCCTAAAAGCATTAAACTAAAGATAAGAGAATTTTGGTTAATTTACTTATTTACAAAAGACAAATGTTTTTCTTAAAAAATTATTGAACATTTTAATGTAACGTTGCTTCTGCTTTGTGTATGGATCACAGATCCCATAATTATAGCATGAGATGCATGTATATTGTAAACGTAGTGTAGAGCCTCAAGAACTAGTTTTTTTGTAGCTGATTTAGAAGTAGCCAACACCTGAGTTCAGAGCTCACCACATGGAGCAGAATTTCTCACAGCAGCTTCATGTGGTTTCCCAGTGTCACTGATGCCTGTGCCAGGCAGTTGTAAAGCCACCCACTGTATTCCTCGGCTGTGGTGTAGTCGTTGCCACAATTGCAGTGTAGTAGAAATACAATTTTCATTGTAAGGAACATGTCTTGATCTTTGTTTCATATCTAGTGAAAAGCTGTTAATTTGTTTTGAAAGATACTTAGTGAAAAAGGGCATGTGTAAATTCAGGGTTCTCAACCATTCTGTGGTGTACCTAAAGACAAAAATGTTATCTTTCTGAACTCAGTTTATGTGCTGGGAAGTGTTGTACTCCTAACTGAAAATATTTTGATGCTTCTCCATGAATACAGAAATCGATGTCAGCACACTCTCATAACCATTGTCAATCCAGTGTGCTGGCACAGGCAATAGGCTTCTAGTTGGGGTTTAGTATCAAAAGTGAGGTAGGTTTTTTCTACTGTTTGACCTTGTGAAAATAGCACATACGCTTTCTGAATTTTCAAAAATATTTGCTTCTTCGTTTACTTTATAAAATATGTGCAACTTCAGTATCTTGGAACTTAGTGCAAAATCCTGAACCTGGTACTTTATAGCAGTAATTGTGGATTTAGGAGTGTTGGGATTGAACCATTAGGAAATCCTTGAAGTGAGGAGAAAGCAGAAATTTTCATATTTTTTTTAATTATTTTTTTATTAGATGCTGTATTTTTGACTGCTCTTTGGACACTTTCCGTAAGAGCTGTGCAGATTGATAGAGGATTTGTTTCCTGTATTCCCTAGCTGGAAACAAGTTCTAGTCTAAACAGACAGTGTAGTGACGTTATCCTGTTACTAGCTGCTTTTGCACACTGGAGGTAAAATGTTAACCTTTGACTTTTCTTAGTGCAACATAAACCAATACTGTGCAATTAAGCAAAAAAACACATTATTTTGAGTTGTTTAAACATGTTTTTAAGTAACAATTCGATCACTAAAATCTTTTGTAAATGCAAAATCTTTATCCAAGTCTTCAAAGTCTTGGAGACAAATAGTCTATAAAATAAATAATTATGTGTTTAGATTGCCATGTATAAATACATGTGTATTAAAATATTCCACATATATATCACTGCCTTTGGTCAGTTGAGTTTACTGAGCTGAAGGAGAACTTAGTTTCTGTGTTAATCTTTTAAGAATTTATGCCCAAGTTCTATTGGTTGAGCAGTTAAAAAAAGCGCTTTTGACCATATTGGACATGAAAAGTTGGTGTGAAAGGGGCTTCTATGAGGCTTATTTTATAGATGTCGGATGCTCAATTTTTCTAATGAATAAGTAACTTTCTTGCCTTCACAGATGCTTGGACTTGATGGATCTCTGGTTTTTTTAGTAAGTGAAATCCTAAATTTAATAAATTTCTATAGGAGGTGCTTTTTATGAAGTAAACATTATTCCATTTGAAGTCTCTATTTTCATATAATATATATTCTCTAAAGAGACTGTCATGTGATGTCTCATATTTTAATGTAATGTCTCTTGTTTAAAGTAACATAGCTTGTGTCATTAGTGATAGACCTTAAATATTAATATCAAAAGAATTAACATCCCAGTGTGCTTATGGCTGAGTTCACATTTTAGCAAAAAGTAATATTAAACAAACACTTGCTGTCATTTCTAGAGTGAGAGCTGTCAGTTCTGTTAACAGGTTTCTTGTGACAGATTTTAATTGTTCGGATAAGCATTTTCTTGTTTGTAAAACACATACCCATGTACGTTTCATGTAGTTGTTTTTAAGGGTGAAATTATTAATACTGATTTTAAAATAAAAGCTTGTTTTTGCAAAATAAGAGCATTAAAGAAAATATAAGTGTCATTATCTAGGTAAATGTCCATGAACTAAAACGAATGCTTCCGTAACCCATCTTGCATTTTTTGGTGTCTGTGGTAGAGCAAATTTCTTGGCTCTAACACAAGATGTGCAAGTTCTGGTAATAATAGCCAGTTGAAATAAGAAGCCTAGATAAAAAAAGTCACTTACTGAAATGACTGATATTTATGTACTGTTTCCTTGTCATCTTCCTTCCCCCATACTCCTTGCAGGAACATGTCTTTTGGGTGGTATCTTTAAATACGTTGTTCATACTTGTGTTTGGTAAGTATCATTTGCTCTTAGGTTTTAAAAAGATCCTACTTTGTGAAGTGATAATGCAGGTTAATTTTAAGGCTGTTCCCTCAGAATAAATTAAATTGTGACACCTAAAATTGGAATCACGAATGAACTGGGAATATGCTCATAAATTTATTGCTTCTAGTTCTGTCATTTTCATTCCTTTAAGTGCATAGATTTAAAATAGGAAAGCTACCAGAAGCTTAATAATATCAACCAAAGCACAGAAAGTAGTACTTGTTTGAAATACTATGAAATTTAAGGAGGAACCTCCTGGAATATAGTGTATGAGCAAAGCAGTAGTTTTAGGAATGACTAGGTTTCTTTTTCTCCTCACAGTTTTCGCTAGATAAAGTTAAATCACTTTTTTCATCAAGGATTCATCTTTGGAGCTCAAAACTGAGAGGGACCAGGATGCAGAAGAATGTAGCTGACTGTGTAGAGTTGTCAAATCCACTTTGATTTTGTGTCCCGAGTTGCTACGGAACAATTTTCTGTGTTTTTCACAAATTAGACTGGCTTAAATTTTAGAAAATAGTAAATTCTGATCAGTGGTGTATTTTACTGTATTTTCCTTTCTCCTTTCTGTAGATGCTGCAGCTAAACTGTAACTTTAAAAGTTTGCAAGACTGTTTCTAGTACAAGATAGGAGTATTTTCATGCTCTGTTTTTATATATAGTTAGTGCTAGGAAGTATTCTTGGACATAAACTAGTCGCAGCTTAACAAAATAATCCTCAAACCACAGGTGCATATTTCTTAATCATTTGTACTCAGAAAGGTAAAATGCCTGCCTTATTCTAAATAGCGGTAAGCTTCCCCTTGACAATTTTTGAAATTCCTACTTTGCATTTACTGCTTATAATATGTAGGGTAAATTTGCATTCCCACTCTGGTTTTACTGCAGAAAGGGAGGGTAACAAACCTAGAAATTATTGTTTTTAAGACCCTCCTGAGAGGCAATAGACTGTGATTCAGGTTTTTATTTTATGTTTTGTGCCTTACATCTGTTGAGTGACATAGGAGAATAACAGCTCTTCCCTGTGTCTTACTTTTGCCTGTTTTGCTGCAAAAGGAAGCTTTTTGATTATGGTGCTCAAGCTCATTGGTGTTTGACACAACTGTGTGTAGAAGCAGCAGCATTTGAGTGACAAGATAGAATGTTCTATACATTTGAAGTGATACTGGACGCAATTTCGCTTGCTCAGAATTATCAGTTACTCAAATCAACACGTCAAAAGAAAATAAAAAGTATTATCATGTATATTTCATTTACAAAAAAATATAACTGTTCTGTTAAGACTTGGAAAATAGTTGAGTTGCTCTGATAATTAGTCTTTTCATCTGTGGCTATCAGAAGTTAGGGGTTTTTAGCCACTGTAAATTTTAGGCTTTTTTTTAAAAAAAGCAATAATAACTATGAAGTTTCTAAACCCTTGATTTAAATTCAACAATATGAGTAATAAGAATAATTAACAAAGTTGTCATATAGATGTGTTTTCACAAATAGGAAACTAACAAATAGAGAAGAGAAGAAGAATGACTTTCCCAAGTGAGCAGTAGATCTGGGAATTTCATTTGTTCCTCTCAAGACTTTTTTTTTAGTATCTTTCCCACTAAGTAGTGCTGCCTAATTTACAACTGCCAAATCTCTAGTTGCTTGTAATTACAATCCTGGTGAGTTTAAAAGTCACAGGAGATACTTTCTAGAAGATAAAACTTGGAACTAGAATTACTGGTCCAGAAAATCTCCTGTGATGTTCTCTTGGACAAGTTAATTAAGTTTGACTTAATTCATATTTTCTATAGCTCATTTTAGGACTCGCAGGGGAGTCTATATGACTGCTTCATGCTTTATATTAAAAGGGATATATTAGAAATTCTCTTTTAAAGAAAGTTATTTCAAAACTATGATAAACTATGCACTGTAATCTCATAAAACACTGTCAAAAAATGCAACTTTGAAGTCATGAGCCTAATATCTAGAGCAGTTTTAAGTGTGATTATTTTTAAAGTATTTTTTATCTCACTTTTTGTTTTGTTCTTCCTCAACTGGAAGAGCTCAAGTCCTCCCATTATCTTCTACATTTTTGCAATTCCCAGAAACTTCTGATTTCTCTGAAAGTGACATGAATTTAAACTTTCTGATAATTGATTATGCTAATACAAGTTTTGCTAAACCTTTACCTAGTTTTTTCATGCTTAGGTCATACAGAAATGAGGAGAGAGAAAAGCATCAGGCTTGTTATTTGAGGGTATGTTTAGTCTACAGTCGTGTTTAGAGTGGATTATCATGATGAAGTGAAGGCAAATTTGGATGAAAAAAAAAGCTTGCAGTTGCTGCAGCCCCTTCACTTTCTGTTGACTCCCTCTGCTCCCGTAGGGAAGTGCTGTTGAATTCTGTGGTCCCTCATAGCTTGATTAGAAGACCACAGAGTGAGCTAAAATGACTCGATCCCGTTGCAAATACACAGGTGTCTGAAAATGGGGAATGCACTGTGGTTTTTATTTCCCTCCTCTTGAGACCTCAGAATTGACAAGAGCGAGTTCTCTGGAACGATGACAGTTCTTAGTACATTAATTCAAAGTAAAAGACTTCTCACTTGCTCCTCATCCCTTCACTGGAGCATCGGTTTTTATCCCCACCTCGTCTTCTTATCCTTTTGCAAATTTCTGCAGGGCTGGCATTTTTCACAGCATTAAGAATAAAAGCACTAAAACTGAAACTATATGAAAGCAAGTCCCATCTGACTAAGATGTAAAATGACTACTTAAGTCCTTTAGTGCAGGCGGGAGAGTGAATGTACACAGCAGGTTCCTACAGCACTCTGATACCACCCTGGTACATAAGCCTGAGGAAATCACTTTACACACAAAAAGGTGAACTAAGAGGGAAAAGACTGTCCTCTTCTTCTGTGTAGTTTCATATTGCATATATTCTTTCAATGTGAATTCCGGTCTGATTGTCAGTGTTTGTAAAACTGTAAATCTTTGCACAGAAAATAATTTTTCTGGTTGTTTTCACAAAATTAGTGAGAAGTTGAATAATTGCCATGTTACAACACACATCTTGCAGATATGACTCCATTTTAGCAGTTTTCATGGCCTTTTTCCCCCTCTTCTTTCTACTTACGTTATGCAGCATTTTGTCCATACCACATTGGTCACTTCTCCATTGTTGGCCTGGGCTTTGAGAAATATGTAAGTACTGTTTTATGATTTCAAAATAAAAAAAAAACTTGTTGCTATTTATTTAATCACAATATTTTTGTAGCATCTTTCTGCTTTTACTTGTGATCACAAAAGTAGCCTGGAGTATGTGTACCTTTTTTTTTTTACTCAAACTTTTTTAATCTATGATTAAAAATGTTCTCCCTCTCTTTCCCACTTGCTCCATTATTTACATTTCAAGAGAGGTTTCTACGTTTTGTGAAAAAATGCAAACATTTTTGGTTTTTTTTAACAGCCTCTTGTTTATTGTGTACATTTTTAATTACTGAGTAATTTTTGTAGTTGACAATAGCTAGTGAAAGCTAGAAGGTGGTGAGGTGGTGTAAGGTAACACTTTTTCTTTCATATATAGAGGTTGTTTCATGTTTGAAGAAAGTAGTTGTTGCCAGTAAATATAAACATTTTCTACTCTTGATGAGAGATACCAAAAATATAGGAGATTATTAAAATATGTAAAAACTCAAGAAACTTGTCATTCTTGATGTAGAGTTTGGCTTTGGAATTAATTGTACAAAAAGGAGATATAATCTTTTAAGAGACTGATAAGCTTTCCCTTTTTTTCCCTCCAGGTTCAAGCATCTCACTTTGAAGGCCTGATTACAACTATAGTTGGATATGTTCTGCTGGCAGTGACGCTAATTGTTTGTCATGTATCCTTTTGTTGGCAGTTACCCGATTCAGATTTTACATGTAAACAGTTTTTCTGGCTGTATTTTGAGAGGGCATAGACATGATGCGGAGGCAATTCTTTTGCCTTTTTGCCCCGCTACTTTAAAATTAGAAGAAAATCTCTTTTGTTCTCTTGGACCTTTAAAAGTTTTTCAGTGTTACTGTATTCTTCAGAACACTTGTATATGTCAAACAACACAAAATCAGAGGCTTTTATGATTGCTTGAAAGCCTTCAACAAAATTTTGAAGATCTGTCTGAGCAGATGGGTGTGGAGACACTGTTTTTTCCTCACTGTCTTTACACTATTGTTGCAGGGTGTGTAGCTGCAGTAGTTGGGGAAATTCTAACCTTCATTATTACAGGAGAATTAAGTAACAGCAGAGTCCTGAATGTTCGAAGGATTTGGTGCTAAGTAAAAAGCCTGCATTCTAGCTGCATGTTGTTGAAGAGACCACAGCAACTTTAATTTCAAAGAATGAACATTTATTTATATTTGAGAGTACACAAAGGTAACATCAAATTTAGACTGCACTGTACCAATGTGCAGTGCAAACGTGGTAAAACAGTTGATTGGCTGTCTGTTCTGTCTCCTAAAAGAAAACAAAACAACCCCCCAAACTGTAAAACACATCCAGCTTTTCTTGAGAAAGGTGAGAATTTGTTTCAGACTGCATGAAAAGGGAAGCTACCAGGCCTTCAGCTTTGAAGCTTTCTTGTGGCAGATGTTTTCAAAGGCAGCTGTTTATTTCCTGAGAAAACTTTTGGATGCTTAATTTAAGAAAGGTGGTAGATTTATTTATTTGTGATGCATGTTTGGGGGGAGAGTTATCCAGCCCAATCAGATTGTGACTTCCAGAGTCACAGTCAGTTTTGAAAAATGAGTCCTAATAAAATACATACCTTCTATTTCACTTCAGTCTTTTATGAAACTATCTGTTGCCAGAAAACACAGAATAAAGTGTTTCATGTTAATCAAACTTTGTTCTAAAATAATTTTCAATATTACTTCCTTTAACAAAACTATTCAGGGTTTGGCAGCACTTGTTAAGTTTCAGCGATCACGCCGTTTATTGGGAGTTTGCTATATTGTTGTCAAGGTAATCCTGGTTTTTTGTGTGGAGTAAAAAGCCCTCTCATTTTTAGCTTACATTGTTGTTTTCTTAGCAATTTCTGTTAAGCTAGTGAGGTGTTTTCTTTTTTCCTAAAGGTTTCCTTGTTAGTGGTGGTTGAAATTGGTGTGTTTCCACTCATCTGTGGCTGGTGGCTGGATATATGCTCTTTGGTAAGAATGGAAATAAATAGGATAAAATAGTTTTTAATGATACTTATATTTAAAGGAAGAAAAGTTCTGACAAGAAGAGAATTGTTGGTAGAAGTTTGACAGCACTCTTCTGTTTTTATAAGCATAGTGTTTCCGGAGGGAAAGGGTTTTTTAGGTACTGCTTAATGCTAATTTTGTTTTCCTTTATGTTACTAAGTGCGAATTAACATGCTATTATTAAAATAATAAGATTCTAATACTTCTACTGCATTTACAAGACTACTGTGATAATGAATTTCTAGGCGAACTTGTGTACTGAATGAGCTTATTTTATGTAGCCATCTTCTGTGAAATGGTAACGATTTCATACTTCAATGGTTGTCCCATCTCTGCTTTGATGAAGATACGTGCTGTGTTGCTTGGAACTGAAAAGGGCAGTTTTTCTGTACGGGAAAAAAAATAAAATTAAGTGGTTAATTTCAAATGGAGAAAATTAATTTCTTCTAGCCTTAGTAGAAATAAACTTTTACTTAAGGGAATAAGTATTTGCTTCCATGACAGTGCCGCTTTGTTTGACCTGATTCATAATTTAGGTAGTGTGTGTTAGTGTTTGAGTTGACTCCATTCTTCTTTCTGTGAGAAGAAATTGACCTGAAATTGATGTTTGTTTGTTGTACTTATTGTAAATTGTTCTTGTTTTGTCCTAATTAAATGCTATAATTATTTATGTGTTGGCATGAGGTAGACATTTAAATGCCTAGGTAGTATGTATGGCCTGGGCTAAACAAAATGAGCGGAAGTTTACAAACTTTGTTCATATTTGTTTACTATTTACCTTGTAGGAGATGTTTGATGCCACCTTGAAAGATAGAGAATTGAGCTTTCAGTCTGCCCCAGGCACCACAATGTTTCTTCACTGGTTGGTTGGAATGGTTTACGTCTTTTATTTTGCATCCTTCATTCTTCTTCTGAGAGAGGTAAGCCTATAAGAACAAGATTGGTGTGTAACACAGAGAAGCTTGTATGTTGAACTGTTAGTTAAATCTTTCGCGTTCGGGTACTGCTGCCACTGTGTTTTCATGTGTGTATATTGGATTTCAGTCTTACGTAAAAATGGCCATGCTGGTACTTGCTGCAGTGGAAAATGATGAATTGAGTATATTTTACTTAAAGATTTTTAGTACGGACATAGCCCTTAAACATGGGTGTTGCCTTCAGATGTATTAAATACATTTTAGTTGTTTGATTAATACTTGAAAATCACTTCTCTATGAAGCTTCCTTTGTTCTATTTCTGTATCATTTTGTTGAAAGAAATTGTTCAAAAAATACCCTTACATTTAAAACTTGCTATAGTAGTGTTGTCCAAAAAGAAAAACAAATCATACAAATGATAACTTTCTCTTCATGTATTTTTTTTCTATTTCCTACATCAGGTATTGAGACCTGGTGTCTTATGGTTTCTCAGGAATTTGAATGATCCAGACTTTAATCCTGTGCAGGAAATGATTCACTTGCCCATTTATAGACATCTCAGGAGGTTTATCTTATCAGTGGTAAGGACTTTTCTCAAAATTCTCTTTATTTGGAAAGAAAATTTCATACATTATCTCCTATATGTACTACTCCGTATTTAAGGAAAAACATTTTCAATGTGAAAATGATTAGATACTGGAACAAATTGCCAACAGAATCTATGTCTTTTGAGATACTGGAAACTCATCTGGATAAGGTTCTGTGCAATTTGATGTAACTGGGTCTGCTCAGTTTGGGGTAGTTTACCTCTGGAGGTCCTTTTGAAAACAAATCCTTGCTGTGATATCTTCTCCTTATGCAAAATCACAGGAAGTGTTTGTGTATTCAGATAACAAGCGTTTATTATTACGGGTGTTGTAAATCACACAAGTCTTTCATGGTGCTTATTGCAATAAACATCGTGCTTCCGATTCAGCTCAAGTCGTGCCAGAGGAGTAGAATAACTTTCTAGTTAAATTTTGGATTGGATTATGCTGATCTAGTGAGTGGTGTATGTTTCCAGACTATCGCTGTAAGATGTTCAAAACAATGAAAGTTTTGGGGTTTTTCCCCTGTGCTTGTTTGTCTGACGTTTGCCTAGCATGCAGCAAGGAAAGGGTCTTGGGCTGCCTTTGACGTGTCATGTCAACTGTGAAAACCGATATACCAGAAACATTATTATTTGGCGTACCCTGTTAATACGCCTGAAGTGCTTTGAGTAGTGAAAGCTCATAGAGAGCCTTTCAAGTACATGAGAGTAGCTGACCTGTCCTTTCAGAGTATTTTCTCCTTAGATAATCATAATGCTTTAGCTGCCCAAAACGTGGTGTCACAGCAAGTGACCCAAATACAAGCAAAAATCTGCTTGTTACTAAAGGTCTTAGAAATGCTCCCAGACTGTGCTGGAACTGGTAGTTACTTGAATTGACCTTTTGATTTCTTAGCTAATTAATTCAGAACTTTTAGCAGCTTCTTGCCAAAATATGGAACCCAGACTGGCGATCATTTATAGTTTACTATTTCAAAAAACAAGTCACGATTTTCAAGTTGTGTTCCTCGATATTTTTAAGAAATTTCTTGCATAGAGCATAAACTATTAAGTTTCAAGAAGAATGGGATTTGTTTTTTCTTTTCTATGTAGTTTTTTTTTAATTTTTAGTCTCTAGAGGTGCATTTATATGAAGTATAAGAATGTATTTAAAGTTTACTTGATACTTAATCTGGTTACTTAAGGAAATAGGATTTTTTTTGAAGTGCATATCCTCATCCAGCTTATCTCCCCTACTAAATTTTGATTGCTCAGTCAATTTAAAATGTGAAGAAATAGAAACTGAAAGATCTTTTAATGTTTCTACAAGTTGCTTGCAAGCTCAGCCACCTAGAAAAGACATGAATCCAAAATTAGTAACCCCAGTGCGGGGGGATGGGAAAAAACTGTCTGACATCATCCTGTCAGCTGGCCAGTCAGTGCTTATTCAGCCACAGTCCTGTTTGGCAAGGAGGTCCCAGTGTACAGGTCTGCCTGGGCTGGGGTTGATTTTTTTCGTAGGAGCTTTGGATCAGCGACTGAAACAGTGTGATTGTTTCAGTGTTGCTGAAACAGGTATGTCTTGGCTGTGGATAAACAGTGCTTGCACAGTGTCAGGCTCCTGCTCTTCATTGCTCTGTGCTTTATTGCTCACCCCTGCACTGAATAAGCTGGGGTTTGGGAGAGGGGTGTACATGGGACCCAAACTGATCCAAGGGGTATTCCGTACCATAGGGCATTGTGTTCAACAGTAAAAGCTGTGGAGAAGGAGGAGGAAGGGGTTATGGTGTTTGTCTTCCTGGGCAACCTTTAAGATGTGCTGAAGGCCCTGCTTTCCAGAAAAGTGCTATTCAGCTGGCTGCTGATGGGAAGTAGTGACAGAATTCCTCTTTTTGTTTTGCTTACATGTGTATCTCTTGCTTTCTCTATTAAACTGTCATCGTCTCAATCCATGAGTCTTCTTGCCTTCCTTCTGTTTTCTCCCCATTCAGCTGGAGAGGAGAATGAGTGAGCAGCCAGGTAGATGTTTGGCTGTTAGCTGGGGCTAATCCACCATGCACAGGAAATACATCAGAGAGGTGGGTGGGAAATCAGGTTTGGTTGCTTCTGCTTTTTGGACTAACTTGTTTAACTTCCTTGTTGCAGATTGTCTTTGGATCAATTGTACTGCTCATGCTCTGGCTTCCTATACGCATTATTAAGTATCTCCTGCCTAACTTTCTTCCATATAATGTTATGCTCTACAGGTAAGCATTTAATTTTAAAAAGATACTTATTTCAGTCTCCCTAAAACTAAAAAAACAAGTATGTTTGCACTCTGAGCATTAATGTGACGTTTGGTATGGTTTTTTATTTGCTTTCAATTAATCTAAACTTCAGTGTTCTAGAAGACTCAAAAGGTACAGGATCATGCAAAATGTTAAATAAAAAGCTACTAAGAAAAATAAAAGGCATTTTGTATTATTTCTATAATTACAACTATTTTGGATTTTATATGCCCTAAAAACAATTTCAGCTCAACTTTTTGATAGTGAAGCTGCTGCTGTGTTTTTCACATTAATTTCTAATTATCATTGCTTCAAGAGTAAAAGAGTATCTGTAACTGTGTTTCTTTTCAATGATAGCAGTATCTTTCTGTTTCTAAATAATAATGGAAACAGCAATGATAGAAGCAAATTCTTGGATATAAATTTTCTGAACATTTTTTCTTAAATTTCTTGAGTGCTCAAGTGCGTAAACGCTCGTGAACACTTAACCTGTGGTCAGAGTAGCATGTAAGAAAAAATGCTTGCAATAACTTAAGAATTGTTCCTGTTGGCATCCAATATATTTTTTTTATTGTGGTGGTGTTACTGTGATTCCGTGTAAAAGGCATCCCTTTTGTTTCACTTCTCATTGTTTCTAGTGATGCTCCAGTAAGTGAACTTTCCCTAGAGCTCCTTTTGCTTCAGGTGGTGCTTCCAGCTTTGCTAGAACAAGGACATACAAGACAGTGGTTGAAAGGTCTTGTACGAGCATGGACTGTTACTGCTGGATACTTACTGTAAGTACAGAAAGCCAAAATCAACTACAAGCATTGTCCAGCTTAGCCTTTTAACATGAAAGCAGCAAGTTTTCAGGAGAGTTATCCCAACAAGTAGCTTTAATAGCTATTTTACAGATAAATACATGATTAAAAACTTCTGTACTCGTTTTCTTCTAAGCAGGAGTTGTACCTACTTCTGGACTAGTCTTGGAGAAATAGGGTTCTTTGGCACGCTATTAAAGCATTTGCTTAGTAAAAACATCTATGAAAGTATGACTAACAGCTTGTTAACTTCTTATTATGGAAAAATTAGAGATGTCAGCAGAGCGCTTCCATGAGTCATCTAAGTAGAATTCATGTGCGCATCTTGCGTTTCTTACTATAAGAAGGAAATAAAATTTTTTTAGAACACGAAGCTGAGCAAGTGAACACTTTTGAATGAAGGATTTTAAAGTTAAAACTTCAGTTTCTAAAGAAGGATAAAACTGTATATTTGTCAGCTAAATTAAATGATTGCACAAACTGAGATTTTTTTTTTTAATTTAAACTGCTAGACAGAGTTCTAGCACTTGAAATTATTCAGTTTTTATGTCATTTGCAAAATTAATCAAGAAAAAATTAATGTTAATTTTTATTCTATAAAGTTATAAATTTAACTTCAAGGTGTATTGCCATTCTCCCACCATGTCTTGCTCATTGTGGGTTGTGCCAATGCACCACTATTAGGATGGTGATTTATTCTTTGCTAAGTTATGTCTGAGACTCTGGGAAGATGAATGAAAGACTTTTTTTCTTCCCCTGCAATCCAAAATACTTATTTTAACTGCTCATAGGGAAACTCTTCCCACTCCTGTTGTCGTAGTTTGCATTCTGGAAATTTATTTTTTTAATTAATTTGTCCATGATTTCATCGTGTTTAAGTATGACACAAGAGGATAATTTTAGAGATGATGGTAGAATCGCTTTACTTTCTCCACTGCTGAAATTATTAAGTATGACTGCAGAATTTCTCGTCAACAATTTTAGTTGAGCAAAGATGAAAATCTTTTCTTCTGCTTTTGTAAAAAGCAAACTGCTGTGAAAACGTTTTCGTTGTCTGCTGATAGAATATCTGCATGCATCTTACTGCTAATTAAAATTCTGCTAAAGCTGAGGAAAATTGCATCTGGGAAAGAACAACCCCATGTACCCATACAGGTTGGGGACTGACTTGCTGGAGAGCAGTGTAGGAGAAAGGGACCTGGGGGTCCTGCTGGGACCTGGGGGTTCTGGTGGACAGCAGGATGCCCATAAGCCAGCAATGTGCCCTCGTGGCCAAGAAGGCCAATGGCATCCTGGCTCGTATCAGAACGAGGGTGGCTGGTGGGTCAAGAGAGGTCCTCCTCCCCCTCTCCTCTGCCCTGGTGAGGCCACATCTGGAATATGTCTGCAGTTCTGGGCCCCTCAGCTCAAGAGAGACAGGGAACTGCTGGAGAGAGTCCAGTGCAGAGCCACAAAGATGAGGCTTTTCCCTTATGAGGAAAGACTGAAGGAGCTGGG